AAGAACGAATATTTCCAAATGCTCCAGTTATATTTATCTAAGTCGGGAAATCAATATGATGAACGACCTAGCTCCAGAGCTGAGCAGAAGGAAACGAGCGGCTTAGAGAGCTTTCAAGAACAACGAGGATGTAGTGAAGAGAACAAAGAACACCTGACTCCGTACCCAACTTTTCGACTCAACGGTACTTCCTGCCCTAACGTATGCGTCAGAAACCTGGTCGCTGCGTAAGTAGGATGAAAGTTCAGTCAGCGTTATCGAACGCGCAGTCGAAAGGACGATGCTAGTAGGAGTAGCCCGTCCCACACAAGGGATGGGACCCGAAGCTCCGATCTGAGTCAACGATCAAAAATCAAAGATGCCGTTCTGCACGCCAAACAGTCGAGGATATTATGAGCCGGATACGTAATGCGTATGAATGACAACTGATGGACAAGTTCCGTTAATGACTGGATTCCTCGGGATGTCAAATGTACTGCAGAAAGACCACCGACCCGATGGTCAGAGTTCTTCACAAAGAACCTAGAAGAAAGATTTGATGCTCGACGAGTCCCTAGAGCGAGCAGAAACCAATGGGCTACTCTTGCACGCGATAGGGAAAGATGGAAGATTTACTGGCGCCAACATGAGTCACTCGACGATCAATGGGACTACAGGTGACAGGTGATACAGAATTAAATCCAACCGCATTTTGTAGCACACGATTTTTATAAGATACCATGGAGGAGAAACCAGAAATTAAAAATATCATTCTAAAGATCTGGTACGACACGTCTTAAGGTCTCGGTTTATTAATGAGCTTAGAGGACGCTGGAAAAACAGAATTTTACTGTCGTTAAACTTTCGGCGCCCTTGTCTTCTTCAAAATTGCGATGATTCGAGATGAAGGCCTAAATCGAAAGAAATAACTGTTGTGTACACTCGAGTTCGAAGCTTCGTTGACCTAAGAAAGGGAAGCGAGCCGGAACTTCTACGACAATAAAGACTTCTATGACAACGTCGTGTATGGTTTCCAATAAAACAATAAAAATCGGTGCTGAAAAGAAGTAACAACGGCCACCTGGCTCACATGGAAACAGCAGAGAATTGGAACTGCGACAGTAAGAAGTGTCGAAAACAGGAGGTATTGCTTTGAAGATGCACATAAGTCCATACAGTAATCGATATACTTCAAATCATACTGCTTTAGAAATTTAGCCCATTGTTTGCAAAAAATCTAAAAAGCTTTCCTCAAAATTTTGGGGAATAATCTTTATCCCTTGGGTGAATGAAGCCCACAATAGTAAAAATACCTCGGCGTCTCAAACATAAGATTAATGTAACAAAAACTATAGAATATTTCAGATGAAATATTAACAATAGACAATTAATGGACATTTGAGAATGAGACTATTGAACTGATGAAATCCACCGTACACAACTCATCACCAATAAACACCTCTTTAAAAACGAATAAAACAGAACAATACCATATCGACATTCCTAGTGGAACCATTTGGAAAACTTGTGCCCAGTTTCACTGATCACAAAACTATCAAATACTTCGAAACCAACTTTCCTTGAACCTCGGTGTGACTAATCAATACGTATTCTTTCTTTGATGAGCTTACAAGAGGTTGATAATTATATTTATTGGCTGATAATTATATTTATTCTCGGCTAACGTTTCGACGTCTTCGTCTTCCTTAGAGCCGATGATCCGAGTCTATTAAATATGTTTCTCGATTACAAAGTTACCACTGGGTCTGCGTAGCGCAGTGGTTAAAGGCGCCTGGGAACACATCTGTTCGATCCCGCACCCCCGTCTCACGAAACTGTAGCCCACTGTGAATTATTGTGAAAGCCAGATATGAATTCAATCATCTCTAGCGGTGCTCAATGAAATGAACAACGCTAAGAGCTTTATCCTTTGTCCTTTATAAAGTAAGATAAAGCTGCTGTGAGAACCCCGTCTTATCTCAGTGAATTTAGAAAATACCGATTTTTCATGACAAGGTTAAACCAAAGCCTGTTCTAAAAATATTACGTTATGTTAAGAGTTACTAGGCTAAGACATTATCTGTACAATGAAATGGTGCGACATCAGAAATAGAATTGGCTCCGGCTTAAAATACAGTGATCGTAAATAGCGAAATGCAGAGCCACAGAACCCAGTTGAATCGATCGATTAGCGTCAAACGACAGGAAGACAAAATGCGCAGGCGACTGACGCAACTGAATGAAGCGCACACAACGAAAGATAGGGGTCAGCAAATCCAGGAACATCACCGGAAAGCGGTATTTATTCGTGAGTAAGCCATGAAACGGTGAAATAAGTTTGTCTCGTATATCCTCATTCGTTAACATTATTTGTCTTGGCCAATCCAGAAAGTAAACGAACAAATTGTGGACAACACAAGAGCAATTTGTGTTGGTGCATAGAAATCAATGTCGGATGTCGAAGTGGAGTTCTCCAACAGTTTTCATAAGACGAAAACTCATTTGTAATGAGGGAACAGTGGCTACACGGACCGCGATAGCAGTGATGTAAGAAATGAGACGAGCGCAGAGATGTAGAGTGGGAGCATTTGGCACACACGGTCAGGCATACAGAGTAGTAGGAACTGGAGGAAAAAGTCCATCCATTTTTTCATTCCATTGGAACAGCCCCATTCCGCTTTAAGATCTCGGAATAAAAAAAAGACTAGGCTTTCTATTCTAGTGAGTAGTGTGGTTTACTGAATCCTTTATATACCACTATGTCCACTACGTAGGACGTAGAATGTGATAGCGGAGTGGTTAGCGTTGCAGTTTATCATGAAACATAGTGCCGGTTCGACTCCCCTTCCAGTGCTCTATCCCAAACTACGTGAGAGACGATAGCCATCAGATATCTCCAACATTGCAAGAAGATTCGACTTGGTTAGCATTCTACGACAGTCATAGAGAACACGAAGTCCCCATGCACCAGCCGAAACAGGATGCAAATGTTCGAGGACCTTATTGTGACTAGGTTTTATAGTAAGCATTCTGATGGCCTGAGTATTTGATACAGAAAAACATTTGATAACCACGAGAATTCTGATATGTGAGTAGAACTCAGAGACTCAGTTGGGCTTCCAATCCGCCATTACTCCTTCCAGGAGTTCTTTCTGCTATTCACTACACCAACTGAGGCCGTTGTTTTGCCCTTCTCTCAGCCGGTTTTTATATTAACGGTGTTGCTGTAAGGATAATCGTGGGTTTGAAAACCAACTTAGGCTCTGAGTTTTGCTAATATCTCAGAATCCTTGTGGTTGTTCTTCACATCAAATCCTGCGATGAAAATGGAGAAGGTGGTCAACAAAAATTAAAACTTGTGACAGTATTTTGTCCGAATTAACCTCAGAAATTCGGTTGAAATAGGTCAGTTAACTAAAGACCAAGGCGAAGACGACGATTAACAACAATTGGTCGCAAAAAAATATATAAATATGTCACTTTGTTGCATGTCGATACCCGTTTACTTCAAAAGTGTAGAAGAACCAGAGGGTTGAAGCAGTTCTGCAAGTAGGATGAATTTGTACGCGAAATCGGCCTGAAGAGTTTAAATGTTTGGATACGTAAACGACTTATTTTCACATGTCGTGGAGTTTTCAGTAATTTTTCCACTTGATTCTTCGCTTTGCAATCATCGCTCAGAGGGGTGATGGGGTATATGGGTTGATTCGACTGCGATGTTTATTCTTATGTCTCGAGATAGTCGTGCTAACACTTTACCACCTCGGCATGAGTAATTATCACCTTGGTGTTTGGGTAAGCTTACACAAGAATATTGAGAATACTACAGTTAGCGTTTCGACACCCTCACCTTCTTTAGAGTCGCTATGATTTGAGTCGAGTGTTTCCAGCAGTTGTTTCTTACGCTGTGAGTCTTCAAAGTCGTCGCATCGAGTTGAACTAAATGGACTAGAGCGCTGAGCGACTACGTACACTCCACGTATCAAGAAGCAAGTGTTGGCTGTAGACAGACTACCAACTTTAATCACTACGGCAAAAGGCGGTGGCTACAGAACATTAAACATAACAAATATTTGTAACAACCTAATGCATGCTTATCAATAGAGCAAGACATTGGTTCTCTATGCTGAACTTAAACAAAAGCCGTTGTTGAAAAATGTGCTTTCCTATATGCCAACGAACGTGAATGGAGCAAAAGAAGATGAGCACAACAAGGTGAGCGAAACATGAGAAGTTTCAGAACTATTGCTTTTTATATCGAAAAGCTTACAAAGACGACGCTTAGAGCTGCTGTGCACTTCACATAGAACATGGATCATTAAGTATAACTCTGAATAAACGTTGTGTTTGCGATAGTTTTTTGTTTAGTTCCTATTCTTTTTAATGGCAGGATATGATGCGAAATACAGCAACAATGATGCTGAAATATTTGCAAAGCCCGGGATCGCAGGTGTCTGCGGTGAGGATCGAACCCGTTATTAACACTTTCTTGGGATAACGTGTTCACCACCACATTATGCGGGTCATTCGCTTCGCCTGTCTTTCAGCCTCTCTCTCAAATGCGACTCAGCATTACTGCGGTTGTTTTTGCATTTTTCGATAGAAGACAGCTCTTAGATCAAGGAATGTAAGTGATCCTTTAGTTAATTCGTTACTATTTAGTAATTATCTTACAAATCACGCAAATAGATTTTAGTGGCGAGATAACTCTCGACACAAAAGAAACCTTTTAAGCTCATAAGTTAAATCGACAACACCCAGCAGCTGTGCCACACATCATAGAAACGCACAAAGAATGCTATGAGATATTCCGAATACTGCCAAACATATCATTGACACAGAACTATCAACTTGTTGGTAAAAAAAACGTCAGAGAGCAAGATGGATCAAGCAAATCTGGTGATATTCAACTTACATATAACAACACTCATGAGCAATTATTTCATAATTTCAGTGTAATCAGCATTAAAGGCGGCTGTTTGAGGAATGGCCAACGTGGAAAGTGAAGTAGAGACAGGCGAATGGACGAAGTGGCGATCGTTAATTATAGCGATGGGATTACCACCAGTGTAAGAACGTATGGCAGAGGTCCATTCAGCCGTGCTACCCAGCAGAAACGCAGGTTCGTCGGTTCTCCAAGCCATTCGCAATCACATAAATTGTTGCTTTTGTCTAGGACATTTTTTTAAGAATCGTAATGAAAGTGCCTCATGCATACGGAGCAGCAAAAGGTGGACCTATTGAGCAAGTGAAACCATTCGGAAGTGGAACGCAACGCATTTTCAATCTCTTTGTTGAATAAATAAGAAAGGAACGATCAAGAGGACGTAAATCATTTGAAAACCAACTTGGCCGAAGAAGAAGTGTCTTTTGTTTTTGAGCGTTTGAGAATTATAAAGATAAAGAACCACCATTAACAAAATTGACATGTAAAACTTTGGATAAGGTTTTTAAAAAAGGTTAGTGAAATTGCACAAGTTTCAACAGCACATAGCGAACCGCGCAAAGCGAATCTACCTGCTTCATAACTTTGTAATTTCAATATTCACTTATAAGCTCTAGCAATAGTTTCTTTTCGATTGCTGTAATATTGTACATTATTGAGGAGGGAGGGGGAGTGGGAGGTTGGGAGGGTCGAATGCAGGAAGTGCTGGGATCCTCACAGCATATAAGATGATGGGTTATGCAAAATAAACGAAAGCGAACTATAAAATTATTAAATATTATATTAAATATTAATATAAATAGAATAAATTATGTGTAATTGAAAACCCCACATCGCGTATTTCCGTTCAGCACAGTTGAATCATAAAATATAAATCGTGTTTTTGACAAATTTTTAGAGTTAGGATTCCACATGTCAAAGCAGAATTTTCGACAAATCTTCCCACGAATTGAAACTCGGACCCATGCAGCGCAAAGGGTTAGGAACCTTGATGGGGTATGGGGTTAAGGTAATGTTAACGAATTCAGAGTCCGACGTCAGTGCGACAAATTTCGTCGTGGAAAATTCAAACAGGGAGATCGTGGACGTCTTTCTGCAGTTGATGATGATGATTTGAAGGGTTTGGATGAAGCTAACAAATAAGCAACTGTTCGATTCGAGAATTTGCCGGGAAGCTTAGTATAAGCACTTCAATTGTTTCGTAGCATCTAAGAATGCAGGAAAGTCGAAGAAGCTGGACAAAAGAATATTGCACTATCTGAAAGGCAATGAACGAGATCGCCGCTCTCATGCATCATCGATGGTTCTTCTGCGCAATCAGAACGGTTCATTTCTCACACACGATGTAGAATGCGACGAGAAATAGATTTTGCATAACAACTAAGGACATGAACTTAGTAGTTGGACCGCGATGACGTTCCAAGGCATTTCTGAGGGCCGAATTTCCTTCAAAATAAGGTCATACTCATATCTTAATGATCTGCAACAGGTTTGATTTATTATATCTTCCCAAATTGGTGTGAAACGATCACCGCAACGAAGGACTTTCAGAAAGTGGAGGAAATGCACCAGAAACTTCGATGGTTGTCCTCCCACTGGTAAACAAAAACGGTCCAATACTTCTTCATGATAACACGCGGCCAAGTGTTGCACTGTTGGTGCTGAGAGGATTGAACAAGCTAAGCTAAAGATGGGTGTTAAATTTTTCAGAAACCAAACCGAGGGCACAACCGCCTTCAACGACTTCATCGCCTCTAGAAGTCCAGAATTTTAGGCAGCTGTCTAATTAGACAAGTACCCTCTTCGAAGCAGTGCCTAAATTCTCAAAGTTGTTGCTACCATTAATAAAGTTCATTCTGTTTTATGACGAACAACTTTGAAAGTATAGACAAAAATTTGAGATTAATTTCCGAACGAAGGGAGCTGCAACATGTTCTGCGTCTCCGTACCTCCGTAACCGCACCCATTTCAACATTATAACTTGGCATATGGTAGTATTTGCCATGGGAACCCATCCCTTTCCTTGATGGTGGTACAAAATTCTGCCGCATGAAAAAATCTAAAAGCAATAGGATTGGTTATTATTGATCCCGACATGTTCCTTCTATCTCCATACCTACAGGTTTTAGCGGAATATATTAGTCCATGGTGGTACTTACTGTGGTAGCGAAACGTATTCCTTTAGGATAGTACAAGCAAAACTGGATTTTCCTATATGAAAACATTTGCCATGAACAATCATGTTTAGTAATAACAGCCAAGCAAACCGGGCGATCCTCTTTCTGACAAGGAATTCAGCACACTAACTTGACCTGTAGAAAGCGGAAAGCACAGTGCTGGTTTGATCCCGTTTCGGTCTTACTAAGTCTCTCAAACCTGTGAGGTCGAGAAATTGGAAGCGGATCTGCCCGGGAGGAAATCGCTCTCTGAGTCGAAGTGGTAATGCTCCTGCCCGGCTATCTCGGTACTCCAGGGAGAATGACTAGACCAGCATTCTATGACATTCGCGTTGAAAGGAAGATCTTCAAAAAGCAGCTAAAGCCACATATCGAAAATTGGAACACATTCGTGGATGATGGATACGAGGAAACGAGTCGAGTGTGGGTAGTGCTGGGATCCGCATAGAAGACGAGAAAGACGGATCGTATGTAAAAAATTTTTTCTTTGTTCTATGCTAGTATGTGCCATAGAAACCAAGCTCTTCATACAAGGCCAGTATAAGTAAAGCAGGGTTTTCCTGCATGAAAACAACTGAAATCAACAGTTAGCATTACTAGTAACGGAGTTATATTTTCCTCGATCAGTGCAAGTTGTCATTGCTGTGGTTAAAAAGCAGGTGTTTCTTTTCAGAGTCTCATACAGTGATTTGCCTTTGGCCTTAGTCATTGTTGTAACTATTTGCTGGTTTTATATAGGAATTTCGATTTCTTTAATAGTTAGTGAGTTGATTGTGAATAAATCAGGAATTTTAAAGCAAGCTTTTGCCTGAATGGTCATTGAAATTGGAAAGCAGGGACTGCCTTACGGCAGTGAAAGCATTTGCCAAAAATGTGCTCAGTAATCAAGAATGCAAGTCAGATAGATGTTCGAAGGCGATAAGATGGTGCGACCGTAAACTATACTATATTCCGATCTGATGGGGTATTGTTCTTTCGTCGAGCAGCTTCCCAGAAACGAAGTTCTTTCGGTTCTTAGGGTAGAATGGTTGAAAAGCTGAAATTTAAAGAAATTGGCGAAATGGCACCGAGAGGAGTGGAGCATGTCGCTTAATTTGACTCAATACGGAAAAGCTCATCTGGTCCGGACGCCGTAAAGAATGACAGATTGAATTCTCTTTCTCGATTTGGCGGTTGGTGGTACACGGTCGTTCTTAATTGGTGGAGCGATTTGTCTGGCTTATTCCGATAACGAGCGAGACTCTAACCTGCTAAATAGCGACTAGATTCTTATCACTAATTCCCTTCCTAAAAGGATAAGCGGTATTTAGTCCCACGAGAATGAGAGAGAACAGGTCTGTAATGCTCTAAGATGTCCTGCGTTGCACGCATGCTACAGTGGTAGAATCAGCTGGGCTATCTATTGCCGAAAAGTGTTGGTAAACCGTTGAAACTTTTCGGTGACAGGGATAGGGAATTGCGATTGTTTTCCACGACCAACTTTCTATTAACCTCGGCATTGATCAAATAGTTCTTTATATTCTTGTAGAGAAAACACGAGGTGTTATTTTATTCTTCATTCACAAACAAGCTGACCTTTCGGCGGATTTCGTCTTCCTTTGAGCCTGGGAAGGTTAAGTTCACTGCTATCTACCCAGCTAAGCACTTCCACAACTAAATAGAGAAAGCGGTAATCTAAGATTTTAGTCGCATTGAAAATAAAGTGATTTCTTAGAACACTCACCGCTTTCTATAAGTGTTTGACTGAGTATTCCGCGTGGAGGCGAACAGCATAGAGCTTACATTGGTAAGTAGTCTGCCTCTCACACTAACATATCGCTCTTAAATGCTATGCGGAACCACAAGTGATCACATGGCCCTTCCCATTTTGATCTACTTTTCAATTCTTCAAATCTATCTAGATTGGACTACGGATAAGCAGGAAAAAGACCCAATTTATGAAGGATCCACGCTGAGAAGATAAACAAATCGAACGAATGGCAAATGTGCTGGGGTCGGCACAACTCGTGAAGACGGACCGTCCAGGTATCCAAGTAAGTAAGTTATATCATTCTGTATTATACTATATTACGTTATTGTTATGTCTTACTATTACTCTATTACACTATATTACTGTTGAGTATTCTCATTGATGGAATATTGTTATAGTATCGCGTACTATAGCACAGTATATTATTAGTATTTAGTGGTGTAGTGTTTTATTGCATTACCATTATATTATTATATTATCTATTATCTAGCTATTCGCTTTGTGCTAGCTAACGTAATAACGACTGCAGCAGGGTGGATTAGCCTTTGAAAAAAAATAATATCAACGGATAATCAACAACCAACAACCACCTTGTGTACAGGAGTACTGCCATGTGAGCACGGCTCATTCGTGCGGAAGATCCCGTCTCGGTACGACAACGAAGCCGTCACATCGAGATCACAAACAACCGTGGACCATTGACACGGCTTTGCTGAAGACGAAGACGTCGAGACGTTAAAAGGATAAAGGATGAAGCTTTCGGCGTTGATCAATCCCTGAGGGATGCGCCATGCATTCGACTTCATTAAGTATCGTTGGAGGTGACTGAATGCATATCTGGCCTTTACGATGGCTCGCGGTGGCCTACCGATGTATCGAGCCAGCGCTGCTATCCTCCCAGACAAGTCTGGTATCAATTTGTCGACCTCGGAGGGATGGAAGACTTGGTGAGCCGTAGGCGCGGGGATCAACTCCACGTGCGCATCGCAGTGGCGCCTCCAACCATTGCGCCACACGTCGGGACGTTAGCCCAAGTTGATCTATCTACCAACCTCGTGCAAGCTCAACAGTTTAAATGCACGTTGATTATTTGGCTACTGAGGCTAAATGACAGTTGATGTGAAAATTATTATATTATGCTATCACCATATTACTATTATGTTGTTAGTATTAGGTTGAAGGATGAAGCTCTCAGAATTGATCAATCCCTGAAGGATGCGTAAGGCATTCGTCTTCGTTGAGCATCTTTAGAGAAGATTGAATACATCTCTGGTCTATGCAGTGATTCCTGTGGCTCACTGATGTATCGAGCTAGTGGTGCTGTTCTACCAGAAGGGTCTGGTAACATGTTGTCGACTCCGAAGGGATGGAAAGTCTGCTGAGCCGGGGGCCGGGGATCGAACCAATGTATATTGCACAGCGCCTTTAGCCACCGCGCTACACGTGCTTCTTTTCGCGACATATTCTCTTCTAATCTGCCTGACATTCCTCCTTGGATCGTCGAGCACTCTCCTTGCTGTTATAAAAAATATGATGTCGCCTAGATAACGATTTCATAAGAATTTCAACAATTCCCTTCCGGTTTCCGGAAGGGCCTTCCGGTCTTAATTAATTGACAAAATTGTCATAGCCCTTGGTCGTAGCCCAGTGTAGGTGCCACTGCTTCGTAGCATTCGATGTCGTTACAAGAACTTTTCATGGGTTTTGCATCTTGGTGTAACTGTAATAAACATCTGCTCATAGGCAGTACGCTTCTACTAAGTGTGAGTTGTGCCAACAGAGCGGCTTTCTGTCGATGATGTCGACGACCACTTTGTATTCAGCAAGATTTAAGAACAAGGACAACTAATACCCTCGGAAGAATTTTAAATGAAGGGTATGGTTTAGGTTTATCCAAAATAGCAAAAGCCAAATGATGTTCAAAAAGGTTAGTTTCATCTAACGATAATAACATGGGGCATACACCACAGCTGTGGTCATTTGAACTAGATTCTCTTGAGGTAATTAACTGGATAAAGTTACAAGTCAAACACATAGGTGATGGAAAATTGGTCGTTTGTTGAAAAAGCCTACTGTCACTCTCTGCGCAGACATTTTCCCGAAATCTTAACAGCACCTTTGTTTAAATTCAATTAAATTAAATGCCGTAGTCTTCAGACGAAAGTTCAATTCAATCATAATGGACAAGTATCTCTGCGGTGCTCATAAATAGAACGAAAATGCGAGATGAAAGCATTTTGATCGCTTGTTCCAAATAGAGCGAGAACACAAGGAATGACAACATATCGGGGTCGTAAAGTACTTCGAACGATGTGCTCTCCGCAGCATCAATGGTCTCGCTACACTCATATAGTGGCTTGTGCAAAAAGTCTCGGATAAGTCTTGTAAGCAATGTAGTAGCGAAAGCGAACGATATGACCATAATAAACTCAACGAATTAGTAGACCTTATTCCAGTTGATCCTACCAACGGGTTACCGCCTCATCGCGGGTGGTAGGTGTTCCTGTGTGCCGGGCTGTGATGTACAGCGGAGTGATTCATCCTCCCGGCAAATTCTCCAAAGCCGAGAAGGAGTTCGGCTTTTCCATCAGAAAGCCCATCTAAGAGTAAACCAATGCCATGTTCCACCACCGTCTTGGTGTCAAACTAGTCGCATGGCGACAAATCTCCCTCTGACCCATAAGGGCTGCTACTGCCAGTAGCGGTGGAAACTTGTGCAGACCTTAGCTAGGCTGACCTCGGGACTTCAGGGAATCGCAGTGCCTAACTCAGCAAAATTCCGAAAAAATGGAAATTGTACTGATGCCCACACCTGGTAGAATTATGCTGGTAGAATGAAGAGTAAATAACCAGCACTCACGGTGTTAACCTTCAACTTATTGCCTACTACTGTTTCTCACGGCGGGGTATTATGTGAAATACAACCACAACGATGTTGAATTGTTTGCAAAATTCCGGAGCTCAGATGTCTGCGGTGAGGATCGAATACGCCTACCCTTTTTAAGGGCTGGCGCGTTCACCACCACACGAGTTCTGCAAAGATCTCAGCATCATTGTGGATGTACCAGTACTATTCGATCAATGTCTGGTACTTAAAGTCCAGTACTTTCATGTGATAAAAGTTGTTTCAATTTGTTGACGAACATTTGATTAATCTGGAATGTGGGAAATTACTCGAAAAGAACGAGATAAATTCGTTTGGAATACATCGTAATGGCGCTCTATAAAATGAACAACTAAGAACTCATCAAATTTTATTCTGCCTAAAATTTTAGAAAAATTTCCTGTTTCAAAAGCGCTTTAAATTAAATTGTGTTTTCGGGCTCATTGGTCGCACATCGATGGGCATTGTTTTTCTTTGGATTGGTCTTAAAACTAATACGTTGTTGATATTGTGCAGTATTTCGCTGATAGGGTAACCCCGATCAGACAGCATGCAGCTGATCACAACCTAACAAATGCTGTGTCTCTCTAACTGTACCGTAGAACCATCGTTCTGTTTTAGACCTTGGGATGCAAGATTGAATTATCTAGCAAAGCCTAACTAGAAACAGTCTGCTCGTCAAAAGACTCCAAAACATAGGCTGCAAATTTTGAGACTTGCTTGCGACACTATCGACAAAATGATACACTTAAGAAAAGGAAAAACTTGTAATCATTTAGTCTCTCTTCACATAGTTAGTCATAAATACCAGATGCAGATGATTTTTGTTTAATCATAAAATCAAGCATAGATAGACGGTGTTAGTGTAGCACACTAGTTCGAGATTCCCCACCAATATATTGGTGGTCGCATTGAAAAAGATTACAAAGTCTAGGAAGCTCAACAAATGAGTGTTGCAGGAAATGGATAACAATCAAATGAGCTACCGTTTCAAGGTCTTTTTGGAGATTCTCGTGAGGAAGGAAAACAACCCGTTTTTGACCGCATTGAAACGTAAGGCGAGAAATAGTTTTTCTCCAACAACTACTGACGATCTGCTCAGCTGTTCAACAGCGATGAATCATCATAGCACTTCCCAAAGCCAAAACTGCACTAAAATGAGATCATTTTGAAATTCTGTTTTAATCCATTACGGCTTCTTGAATTTGCGTGAAACGATTACAGCAGGCAACGCTGTACAGCAATTCGAGCAAATACGCTGAAATCTCCGTCGGTTACGGCACCGAATGCGTTTCTCAGCCTCTGCAGTTTCGGCTATTACTGCTGCTCTTCTCTCTTTAAGATCTTCTTTTATCGGCTGTCTGCATTGCTTTGCAAGTTCGGACGCTAGTTCGCGGTTGCCTGCAGCTTGTGCGATTCCACGCTAACGTATCAGCTCGAGTGTTTCTGGAAACAGACGTCTCTTGGTGACTTTCGATCTCTCTGCTGTCATAGCGCTAACGTAAAGATGCTGAATGAACCGATCGCATTCTTCGCCGATGTTATCGAGAACGGCATTTTTCCAACAGCCGACTAATGAATTGAATAAATCCCAGTTTACGGTGGT